CTCAACCCCCAACTCCAAAGCTCTGAATTCTGAGCCCCTAAATCGTAAATCCTACACCTTCAACCCTAAACCCTTGATGTTAAACCTTAAGCCCTAAAGCCTGAACCCACTTTTCAGCACATGCTTTGAGTGTGTGCCGACAACTCGGCATCTTAAGGTCGAAACCCGTTACCCTAAACCCTAAACCCTAAAAAAACCCCTAAACCCTAAACCCTCAACCCCAAACCCTAAACCCTAAACCCTCAAACCCAAAGCCAGCCTTGTCGAGGAGCGGCTGAGCCATCGTCGCGTGCATCTGCAAGGGCCTCTGCCTCCTGAGCTAAAGGTTTAGGGTTTAGGGTTTAGGGCTTAGGGACTAAAGGCCTATAAAGTGGGTTTAGGGTTTAGGGTTTAGGGACTAAAGGCCTATAAAGTGGGTTTAGGGTTTAGGGACTAAAGGCCTAGAAATTTGGCGCCAAAGTACCTGCATATTCCGACTACGTTAATGCCAAATCACACATGGACCCTTAAGAGGGAAAGATGGACTGTCGCTTCCCTCATTCCCGCAATGCGAGCCCTAAAATGCTATGAAAACCAGCTTGTCAAGATCGACTGTGCGGCTTTTCAGGATTCCTTTAACCCTCAAAACAAGGTTTACAACCCTAAACCGTAAACCCCTCATTTGAAGCTCGACCGTCTGGGCTTCCTTTAGCCGGGCCCCAAGCTGGAAGCTTCAGGAAGCCTGGGGCTTCGGGGTTTAGGTGCGGAGTGCACGCACCCACTTCCACTTCTCGTAATGTATTCTCTTGAGCTGCAGGATCGCGCATCTTGGCAACTTCTGCGCGCGAGTCGCTTACTGACTTTGTTTCCTTTTCAAAGCTTCCTAGCAAAAAAATCCGTTAACAAATGCTACCGTCTAAAGTGTACATAAGCAAACCCAAAAGGCCACAAGCCCAGTTGGAAACAACCAAATCTCTCAAGCCAAACGCTGTCGCAAGCCAGGACCCCGACAGGTGCGAACGTGACATTGCGCTGGGTCGCCTGGCTTCATCCGGTCCGAAAATGAAACTGTTCGCGGCAGTTTTACTCGCAACCCTAAAGCTTGCTCCTCTGCATTGGGTTACCCTTTGTGGGGGGGCCGCTTCTTCTTGGCAGGGATATGCCTCCTCTAACAAGGTACCGTGTAAGAGTGCTGAACCGGTTCATATCATGTTATGCTCATGCAAGGGGGGATGTGAGATGATCGGATGCTTGCAAGTATATAGTTTCGCGTCAACGCCGGTTCGAACAAACGGGATGGGTGTGTTTCAGGGCGCCATGGAGTTGAAGTCTATTCCGGGATTCCGGACCGGAAAGGAACCTACTTTCAACCTCTGGGCTTCATTAAGGGTTTAGGGTTTAGGGTTTAGGGTTTAGGGTTTAGGGTCTAGTGTACCTTCATTGTTCTGTGGATTAGGTCACACGTCCAGGGCTTGAAGCTTGTCCTGGAGATCAGGTGCGGTTTTCTTGGGGATGACGGTGCGGCTGTACACGGTTGCATAAGGATTTTTGAGGCTCCAGAGGCGGAAATGTTTTCCTCATTATGAGTACTGGTCATGAAATGCTGAAAAGGGAGCCAGTCACGGCCGAAGCAAAGCAGCCCGGACACTAAACGACGCAAACCCTAAACCCTAAACCCCCAACACCCGGAATCCCAAATACCCCAAACACCTAAACCCTAAAGGCCCAAACCCCCTCTGAACTTCACCCTCAACCCTCATCCCTATGAGCCCTCATCTTAGACCCGAAACCCTACTGGAGGGGCCGTAATCATTAGAATAGGGTTTTGGGCATCTCCTTCTTATAACTATAGTATGCTATACCCCCCAAGCCCTAAACGCTAAACCCACCCCCTTAAAGGAACCCTATTTCCAATTATCAAGGCCCCCAAAAGGCCCTATACCCTAAACCCTAAAACCTAAACCCTAAACCGTAATCCTAAACCCTAAACCCTAAACCCTAAACCCTAAACCCTAAACCCTTATAGGCCCTATGTTACATGCTAGCGCTGGCCTCCGGGTCTTCTTCTGGGTCGCCCTCCTGCACACTGAAGACTTCAGAGTTTAATAGGGTTTAGGGTTTCAGGGTTTAGGGTTTAGGGTTTAGGTTTGGGGTTAAGGGTTTAGACTTCAGAGTTTGAATAGGGTTTAGAGTTTACTACTCTCACAACAATTGGGTGTAGAGTTTAGGGTTTAGGGTTTAGGGCTTCAGGGTTTCGGGTTTCAGGGTTGGGGTTAAGGGTTTAGGGTTTCAGGGTTGGGGTTTAGGGTTTAGGGCCCTCATCAATTAGAACAGAGTTTCGGGCATACTATGACTGTCTAAATAGGGGCTCTAGGAAATCGCACCGGTATTCATTCAGGGTCCGGCTGTTGACATGCCAGGCTTCGACCCGCATTGGAGAAGTCTCACTTTCTTCGATGAGTTACAAAAAAAAGGGTCCTGAATAAGCGGGGCAGCCGGCGACAAAACGAGCTGGATTTAGAGGTCCTGCTGTGCGCTATTGTCCATAAGTTACTGTGACACCTCTCCGGGCTCCTGTCCATAGTCTTCATGAAACAGATGTGGTACATGCTATGCAACTCTTCTTTGCTTCCAGCCTGCAAAAGCCTCTGCCGGGAACCAAAATGAAGGGACAAAGCAAACCTTGAATACAGTTCTTAAGCCTGACCCTCTAAACCCTAAAGCCACGAGGTACGGTACATGAACCAGACACGCGCTCGCTTAGAACCCCGAATTGTGACGCAGACAACATGCGAATATGACTTCTTCAGCCACAGGGTGCCCCTGAACATCAAACCCAAACTGGCTGAACAGGTGGAGATCCCAGGAAGTTAAGGTGGGGCTGCTCTGAAGACTTAGCCAAGCTTCCGGTCACAAGAGCTGACGCTTTTCGTTTTTCTGTGGTTATAATCTCAATAATCTCAACTGTACGGGTTTAGGGTTGCGGGGTTTGGTGAGGCCTGAAACGTCTGACATCGGCATAATGGGGCACCTCGAAGTCCTCATCCCAGTCGCCCTCGTACTGGTCCGACAGAACAGTGGAGCTCATGTGAGAGGGCTCCTCCAAGTAATGGCGAAGAATCGGAGCTTTGGACCCGGAATCTCCTTTGAGGATGCCAGAAGCACCGCAAGCCAGACAACAAAAGACGGTCAAAAGATACTGTTGATGATGATGATGATGATGATGATATATATATACCTAGACAACCAAACCATGCAGAATAACATATACTTTCAAAATTAATGGTTATAGCTTTAAACACCCAAAAAAACGTAATATTACCTTTTCTGGTTTTGGTAGCGCTTTTTGGCTTCGTCGGTTGCGTTTTTTGTCGTAGAAGTAGTTTTGTCGGTGGCGCTTTTTGTTCTTGTCTTTGTTTTGTCGGTGGCGCTTTTGTTTTTGCCTCAGCTTTGTCGGTGGCGCTTTTTATTGCTGTCAGGATTGAACAATCTGCTAGGGTGGTTTAGGGTGCTTGTCGGGATATAAGTATACGGGTCGCTTCTGCTGGTCCTTTGGCTGGAAGCTTCTTCCCGTGAGCCGAGCTCCTGGAGTTCGCTGGGTGAGCCCCCCCCCCCGCCTTGCTTTGCTGCTTTTGTGTGCACCATTGCATTGACTGGCTTGTGTTGTGCCACGCAGGGATCTTACAAGCATTGTGCTGCAGGGTTTGATCGCTCGAAGGCCTGTGTTGTGTCTTTTCCTTTCGATCTTGATCTTGTAGGGTCATGGCTGCCAGTATGCTGGCCAGATGCTCAGCAAGTAGCATCTCCAAGGCACATCGCGAAGGACTTCGGTCATTCTTTTGATTCAGATTGGGCTATCAATATCAGTGCATTACTTTTTGCATCTTGGGAAGGACTGCTACGACTCCCGGATGCTTTTTGGAATGCCTCGGCTACAGCCCTTTATGCTGATGCCCAGGTTCGGAGTTCTTTGCACAAGTAAGATCATACTTGATAATTCAACTGACACAGGATATGCCAAGTCCGGACAGAATGCTGTCAGACATCGTGGCCAATGTTAAAGGCGATGGCATATGCAAGCACTTCGTTGAGTTGTTCCAGCAGGGTTCAGGCGGGGGGTTGTGTATTAAAATCCCTTAAACTCTAAATTATAAACCCTAATGACCCCGAATACTAAGCCCGAGACCCTAAACCCTGAGCAACGCCAGCTTTTCACAGCAGGTGCCGAGAGGATCTCGATCGGCACGCCTTCCGAGTGATGTTTCTAAAAAACGAAAGGCTGATGGGGTGCAAGGACACTTGTAGTCGGCAAGCTTTATGTGGGCGGCTGCACAGATCTTGCAGGGGGCAACAGCTCAAAACAGGTTGGCCTTGCAATACTCATGATTCATGATACCTCGCATCGTGCTGCAACCGTCGGTCCTCATCAATATGTGTGTGTGTGCCCCTCGCAGGTGATGTGACATGTCATCTTTCTTTCAAGGCCGGGTAGTCGGCAGAGAAGTTAAGTTAAACTACTAATCGAGCCTCCTTGCACGCAGGCCGTGGAGCCGCATCGGTGTTTTCCAGGCACCTTAACTTTCGAAACAGCAGCTTCAGTTCACTGCACATAACACATGATGCAGGTGCCTCCTGTTTTGTGGCTTCTTGTTCAATTCGACTTCGCGGTTTACTTTGCTGGGAACCAAGCCTCCAGTCAGATACTTAAGCTATATAACATAACCAATAATCCCATGCTCAGGTCTGAGGCGCCGATCGCGATTTTGGGTGGCAGAGGCTGGGGCACATAGTCTCGCAAGCGAGTATTGGGGTGCACATTAGATAGATTGCTGCAGGTTTGGATACCGAATCTTCTGCTGCGAGACAGACCCTGTGCTCGGTGCTAGTACGGTGCAGGTTTGTGTTGAGAGAGCAATCGTTCCTTCACTTGTGTTGCCAGCATTGCAGCATGCAGCAGCGACTTCCTACGCAGACCGGGGGATCACAGGTTGAGGAGCTTAGCTTTGCAGGGCTTTTGAACGATGGCTGCTGCTGGGGATGATGATGTGGCTGTTGACGGGCGGCCACTGAGATTGAGGCGACAGCCTCGGGAGACTTGGCCCGAGAAACATGTTTTCGCAAAGCAGCTGGAGAGTGATGTTTTCGTTCGAGACAGCTTTCGGACGAACAAGTCGCAGCTGCTGAGATGGACGAGTCCCGAAACTGTGGGGATTGCATCCCTCAAGGCTCTTTCCCTCAACGTCCAGGTGATCAAGATATGCCTAGAGGTATGGGGTTCCGTTTCGGCACTTCCGAAAGCCATGGCCATTGATTGGTTGAAGGAGGAGGCTATTAGATTCGGGAACCACGATAAGTTCTAAAACCTCCAAGCATTAGTCATTAGATATGGACAATTTACCTAATACTATTTGTATCCACTATAGTGCTCCCTGAAGGTTTTGGAGGTTCACAAGCTCCTGAATCCCACGGGGTTTTCCAAACGTGCTGTCGCCATCTATCTCGATGCCTGGGGAATCAAACGGTTGTCTTCGCTGGCGATGAGACGCTGGCGATCACCCATAGGAAATCTTCGGGATTCTCAGTACGCAAAGTAATATGGTATGTCGTTTGTGCATGTGCCTTTAAGTGCCGGGCCCCCTGCTACTACAGGATCCCAGCCTACGGGTCTTGTTCGAGGTTATGACAGAAGCCTGGGGAGAGGACCCTGGTGCAGATGATGACCCTGAAGACGATGCCCCGGCTGACGCTTTGATGGATGCTGTGCCAAATGACGATCCATATGCAGCCGCAGCAGACGAAGCAGGATCGTCGCAGGAGACTGCGGTTTTGCCTGGAGCTCCGCTTCAGGCTTTGGTGGCTGAGATGAATGATGAAGGTTCGGATGGAGCTTCCCATGAGGCTTTGTCCGGTGAGCCGAATCAAGCTGCTTCGTATGGGCTTGAGGCTTTGCTTGCTGAGCTGAATGAAACAGGTGAGCACGGAGCTTCCCGCGAGGCTTTGCTTGGTGAGCCGAATGGAACAGGTTCGCCAGGAGCTTCGCACGAGGCTTTGCTTCGTGAGCCGAATGGGACAGGTTCGCATGGAGCTTCACATGAGGCTTTGGATAGTGAGCTAGAGTCAATCGCAGCGAAGATGCAGGTCCTACAGAGCCTAGGCTTCACATTACAGTATGTGTGTATGTGTGTGCACTCTTTGGGAAGGATCCTGCTGCAATCGCTCATTCTTGCTGAAGTTCTGATTAGGAATCGCTTGGCCCAGCGACGCTTCAGCAGTGCCTTGCATTCTATATGCGACGGTTGAATGTGTGGGAAGAGAGCTCTGACCTATAAGAATGCACATACGCCCTCGCAAGGTGGTTCCTTCGACCCGTCGAATGAAGACACCCTGCCTTCTAACATCATGGATCTGCCCCACATCATGAATAACGGTGATGAGAAGCTCGTGGTGCAAATTCTTAGCGATGATGAGGAGACTGAGGCCCCCGAGGTCTTGTCCAGTGCTGTGGCCGACGATGGCAAGGACAGCAGTGCTGCTGATGTGGCTCCTACAGAACCTGAAACTAAATTATCCGAAGCGGCCGAGGCTGCTGGTGATGACGATGGGCAACCAGATGATGAGTCTTTTGATGTCGCCAACTACGAGGCACTTACTGCATGGGTTATATAGGGGTTGGTCGTGTCTTAATCATAACAACTTAAAACCCTAAAACCTAAACCCTAAACCCCAATCGTGACTCACAATAATGTGTGGCAGGGCAAGCCAGACCGACTTGCTCAAGCTGCTGCTGTTCCCAAGCCTGTCAAAGGACGCGGCCGAGGCGGGCGAGGCAGAGGTCGTGGCCGCGGCCGTGGGCGAGGCAGCAATGCCTCGGATGGCGATGAGACCCCAGAAACTCCTCTGCCCAAAGCCAGATCAGCTAAAGACTCCGCGAAAAGGAAGCCCGATGATACCGAACTCGAGACCCCGGATAAGGAAGTGGCACCCAAGAAGAAGGCCGGCAAGCCGCCCAGGGAAACCGCTCAGGGGAAGCCCAAAGCTGCTCCGAAGCCGAAGACCAAAGCGGT